GTTGCTTTCGCCCATCAATTCGTACCTCACAGTGTTGACGCTCTTGGCACTGCCGAATTACAAGGCGCTTCTCCTGGCTCAGCCATACTCCACTCGCAAGAGCATTGCGCACGCTGTCGTCAACAGCGTCTTGAGAAATGAGACTGTCATGTCCACCCCAGAGGATGTTGACGGAGTTCTAGACTTGTGCAGCATTCTGGTTCTGGACCAACGAGAAGGGACCGCTCACCATGCTCAGCACGCTGCATATGCACAGGGTGGCAACCCATACGCCGCTCAGCATCTGCATAATCAGGATCCTCGCTATAATGGGCATCACCAAGGCGGCACTCCTTTGTATGGAGGAGGCATGGGCAGAGCCATGAATTCCAGGCATCATATGGCTCAGTACGACCTGGAAGAGATGGCGGAAGAGCAAGGCTGGCTAGCCAGGATGGTCCACCTGTTCAGGTCCGACGATCTTGAAACGCAATTCAGCTTGCTACAAACGGCCAGGAAGCACTTTATCGCCGGCGGCGAGCGCATCAGGTATACTCTTCCGCCGCTCAGTGTCTCTGCAATGAAGCTGGCGAGGCGGTACAAGTTGCGAGAAGAGACCGTGAGCACCTGCTACCATACTTGGCCAACGGCCTGCAGATTGACTCACCGATGAATCTTCTCCTTCCCGGCACAGGAGGAAGACTGGGAGAGCAAGATGCTCACCTTGTACAAATTTGTCCACCAGATCATCTCCACGCTCTACAACAAGGTGGAGTCCTCGGACGCCTGCCTTCGCTTGTTCTTGCTCGCTGCACAATCAGCCGACGAGACTGAGTTCGAAGAGCTGAGCTACGAGTTCTACGTGCAAGCTTTCACCATCTACGAGGAATCGATCTCCGAAAGCAGAGCGCAACTGCAAGCGATCGGACTTGTCATATCCACCTTGCAGACAGCACGAGTCTTCTCGACAGACAACTACGACACCTTGATCACCAAAGCTACGCTGCATGGAGCCAAGCTGCTCAAAAAGCCTCATCAAGCTGCAGCAGTGCTGATGGCCAGCCACTTGTGGTGGCAGGTCGAAGTAGCAGGCAGACCAAGCACCGAGGAAAAGGTGAGTAGTGAGCGTCCCGTCACGCCTAGAGCTCGCTGATCTGACGACCGCCTTACGTTGATGCATTTCTTGTCCAGCCTTTGCTGAGGGATGGCAAGCGCGTTTTGGAGTGCTTGCAAAAGGCGCTTAGGATCGCAAACAGCTGCGTGGATGAGCGCAGCACAGTGGAAATTTTCTGCAGCGCTTTGGACCAATATCTCTATTACGTGAGTGTCGCGGATCTGTGAGCTGGC